ATGAGGGACACGAGGCAGTAAGAGATTACAAAGTTTGCCCAAGTTTCCGCAGCTGGGATTTGGAGCCATGCTCGAAGTTTCCAGAATCTGTACCCAGGAGCATCCGTGCAATGGAACACGATGCAGGGTGTCAAAGAAAGCTAAGGCAGAGTACAAAATATCAGTGGAAAATTCCTACAGGATTATGTTAAGTGAAAAAGCAGGGCGAGCAAACGGCACATTTGAGGAACTTCTGATGACTCGGTGAGCACTGGATCCAGGACAGCCGCTGAATGCATGCATTGGCGGTCGTCACTACGTGGGGCGAGACAGTGCTTCTGCAGGACCGCAGGGAAGGAAGATCCACGTTCCTGCTCAGGGTCTTCCAACCGGAGGCTCTCGAGATGGAGCCTGGGCCAGAAACACCTGGGGGGCCTCAACGCGCATCGAGGCTGGGCCCCGCCTCCAGTGCCTGAATCCACTGGTCTAGAGCCGGAGCTGGGGCGGCAGGACATCTGCACCTCTAACAAGCTCCCAGGTGGTGCTCGTGCCCACGCTGAGAACTGGTCACAGCCCAGGGTAGAAACTCCAGGTCTCCGATGGCATCCACAGCCCTGTCCTCCCTCTGTCCTGTGATCTGGGTAGCTACCTCATGTATATGCAGTTGTCAGGAGGGTGAAGGAAAGATCTACATAGCTCTCCTCAGCTACTTCAAAGAGCCACTAAAACTCCAGGGAATAAGAACGTGCTCTTTTGGGAGGCTGCAGGGAACAGTGGTCAAAAAAGGTTTGCTCAGTTTGGGGCGCCTGGGTGGCTCAGTGGGTTAAGCGTCTGCCCTCAGCTCCTGATCCCATGGCCCTAGGGGATCGTGACCACGTTCAGCGGGGAACGTGTTTCTCCCTCTGTCCCTCCTGCTCTCTTTCTCTCACTCTCTCTCTCTGTGTCAAATAAATAACATCTTTAAGGAAAAAAAAAAAAGGTGCGTTCTGAATCTTAGGTCCATCTCTTACTAGCTTATGACTTATCCTCTTAGCTCATCAGTTTACTTATCTGTGAAACAGAAATAAAACCTACACGTTAGAGGGCTAGGGGTGGAGGGTGGGTTAAATGCGGCCATTTGCTTGATGCTTTCAGAGAACACTTACTCCTGAACCTCGCCTACTGAGCGAGGATCTCCAGGGCAGGGTCCCCAGGACCGGCCTCTTTAGTAAACAGCCAGGTGATTCTTAAATTGGGTATGTTTTGCAAAATTGAATCGAATCCATGTAAAGCACCAGGCCTGTATGTAGGCTCCTTCTATGAAGGTCAGCCGCTGGCTGGTTAGCACCTGGGCCTGTTTGCAAGTAGTCTCACCACGGCCTCCTTGATAATGTCACTCAGCATGATTAATTAGTAGACGCCCCGTAGTAAAATTTTAGAAGACGTGGCTCTATATCCATAAATAAAAATTACTTGAAGTGTACATTTTAGATTTGTGTACATTACCATTTACAAATCATAGTTTTTTTTTAAGACTTTACTTGACAGAGACACAGGGAGAGCAGGAACACAAGCAGAGGGAGTGGGAGAGGGAGAAGCAGGCTCCCCACTGAGCAGGAAGCCCGATGCGGGGCTTGATCCCAGGACCCTGGAATCAGAACCTGAGCAAAGGCAGACGATTAACGACTGAATCACCCAGGTGCCCTACAAATCATATTTTTTTTTAAAAAAGATTTTATTTTAGAGAGAGAGAGTTCACCTGTACGGGGAAGGAGAGGGAGATAATCTCCAGCAGACGCTACACTGAGCTGGGAGCCTGACAAGGGGCTTAATGGGGGCTCAATGTGGGGCGGGACGCAGGGCTTGTTCCCACGACCTTGATCATGACCTGAGCAGAAACTAAAGTTGGATAATTAACCCTCTGAGCCACCCAGGTGTCCCTATAAATCATACTTTAACAAAAGGTTTTAAAAGGAAATTTTAAAAAGTCACGAGTCCTCTTCTTTTGAAAAATGCACTCAGGGGCGCCTGGGTGGCTCAATCAGTTAAGCGTCTGTTCGGCTCGGATCATGACCCCAGGGGTCCTGGGATTGAGCCCCACATTGGGCTCCTTGCTCAGTGGGGAGCCTGCATCTCCTTCTGCCAATCTCTCTCACTCTTTCTGTCAAATGAATAAATAAAACCTTTAAAAAAAGGAGAAGAAAAATGCACCCAAAGACAAATCACGCTACTAGACAGGCTACGTGTCTAAATGCTCATCTGTGCAAGACACACTGCCCCGTGCGACCGCACGGAACACGGCAAGTAAATGAGTCACTCGATGGACTTAAATATGTGGTTGGGAAGCAGCCAGTGGAAGTACTGTGGTAACGTGGTAATGGAAGGATCCAGAATTTCCCTTTGACTTCTACCACCTCTGGCAGTGAGTTCTCTGCCAGAAGAGAACAGCTTCAGCCCAACCTCCCATCTCCAACAGCCCAGGGGCAAGCACTCTCCTGGTGGGAGGAAAACAAAGGTGGAAACTCCAGCTCCTGCAGGCGGCAAGTCCGCCACTAACTTGAAGGGATGAAATAAGAAGGAACCACCAGGGCCGCCATAGCACCTTGGATGCCCTCTGCCTCCCGGACTACAGCTGGAGGTCAGGGGCATGTCGATAAGCCTAAGTTCCCTACTGCCCACAGGGCTCACACGTGCGGACAACACAGTCTTATTCTGCAGTTCAGCGGTGAGGCGGGGTGATGTGGGAAAGAGATAGTAAACTGGGAGGTCAATTACCGTCACTGCATCTCCTTTGCTTTTAGACGGTAGGCGCCGATTTCTTATGATGCTTCTTGTTCTAGACAAGCCCAGGTGGCACTGAAATGGTTTCCATTTTTATCTCCACAGTGGATGCAGGCTCCTGGTTTCAGGCTACTCCTGTGCTTTGCTCACAGCCCAGACCTGGCATGCCCGTGGCTCCTGAACCTGTCACAGGTACTTTCGGTGCCCCAGCCGAACCTACTCAGATGCCATTGGTTGCACCTGTGCACCCCTCCCCCCCGGAGACACTGATGGTCTGCTGTGTGGACGGCCAGAAGACCCTGCAAGACGACCTCCCGTCAGGCAGCCTGAGCTCTGGACACACGGCCGCTGGAACGAGTCAGTCCAGTCACTTGCCCGAATCAGGACAAATTTGGAGGTAGTCACTTAGGCTACAGGGTGGTGCTGTCCAACAGAACTTTCTGTGGGCATGGATATGTTCTAATATCAGTGTTGTCCAACACAGTAGCCACCAGCCACAACTACTGAGTGCCTGAAATGTGGCTAGTGTGGACTGAGGCGCTGGATTTTTAAAATCCTGAATGCACACCTGCATGAATAAAAAGGCAGCCTCCATGTCAGAATGCCTAGAAACTACGAGGAGAAAGCTATGCCTGAGGGTAAGTTTTATCTTCAAGTTGCCTGAGAGTTATAGAGAAACTTTACCTTTCTCAGACTTCTGTTCCTGAAAATCAGTCTAGGAGGCATGAGGCCAATTTCTCTTCTTAGAACCTGGAAGACAGTGACTAAGGTCTGATCTTTCTTTGGTTCCAGTTGGGAGAATGTCTCAGAATCTGCACATCAGTGCCTGTAGGCGAGGGCTATGTAAAGTGATGGTGGTTGGGCTGAATTTGAATGGACACCAAGACACAGCCCGAAGCTCCACAGGAACATTTTAGGATGTCTAGACTCTGATTGTTGTGATTTTATTGTAAGCATCAGTAGTGTTTTCATAGCTATCTTGCCAAAGATTTTCAGGCTTAGGATACTCAAAAATTAAATTACTCTTTTGCTTCATTTCATTTCATTAATATCTGAATGATCTAGGTGTGGCCCCTGACCCCTGACTCCTTGAAGGCCTCCTCCTCTACTCACCTCTGGGGCCAATAATCACCTTCTTCAGGTCACCCTAGCTGGTCTCCATATTCACTGTAAGTGGAAGTAAGAGCGCTTTGAAAGGAGTTTCGGCTCCACACACCATTGCTGTTTTACTCTCCTGTCCCCTCACGTTCTGCCCCTGGGTCTCATTCTGCTCCCTGCGCCCGAGCCTTGGCTATATCCCATCTGGCACAACTCAGTCCCTTTAGAACTAGAGAACCCACCTTGCTTCTGTCTCTCTCTCTTGCTCGGGACTGACACCCCCAAACCTCCGTCCGCTATGCTCTCTGTCCGTCGGACCAAACTCCTTCTAGAATCTGTCCCACACTGTTCAGTAATTCATTCCACAGACATTTTAGGGCCCCGTATCGCCAAGCCCAATGCCGGGGAGGCCGTAAGCGTCGCGTTAGCATGCCTGCCTTCTAGGTCAAGAAGGAGAGATAGAGGGGTAATGAAAACTATGCCCATTATCCTAAAGCACATACGGAAAGAGCTGGCAACAGGAGCCAGGTCTGGGAGCAGCCAACTGCTTGGACCAAGACTCAGATCTGATGCGCTTTTGTGCTCAGAATACAGACCTTCAAAAAGAGGGTGAGCCCATGGTGCGTTAAGATTATACGTCACACGAACAATAAATAGGCACTGAAGGTCTTACAAAACAGACAGATGTGGCAGCACCACCAACCAGAAGCTGTGGGATCTCGTGCCGAGTAAACTATAGAAAGCCCAGTCCCGGGACACTCCCGCATGACAATCTCTGCGCCCCACGTTTGAAGACGCCCCCAGGTTTGAAGACGCTTGCTTGACCATTCTACCTGAGTCTCAAGATTGCGAACACAGGGCATAGTTCATCTCAAAGGAACTGGCGTGGAGACCCGGGGAAGGTGACAAGGCGCAGGCCATCTCCCAGATGTCACCGTTCCTTCACGATGGACAAGCATTTTGTTCTGTGGCCCCGTGTGGCCCCACGCAGGGCCATAAAGGGTAATTCACCTATCTGGGTAGAAGTGTGTGGTTACATTCTGGAGGAGCTCTCTGTTCTGACGCAACAGGAAGCGGGAATGTAACATGCTGATACACTCGTAATTGACTAGAAGGGTTTCAAACGGAAAAGACATCAGACTCAAACACAAGGCCAAGGCTACCTGGTGGCAAGAAGAGGGTATGTGTGAACTGGGCTGAACCAGGCTTCCTTCCTCCGCGGCATGCTGTCATAGATTAAAAGGTCCTTCTCGGTCAGCACGACCAGGACTGGCTTCCACTGCTTCTCGCTCTCCCCGGGCACCTGGAACAGAAAGCAGGGTGCTGTCAAGTCACAGCCTGAAAGGAGGAGGGACTGGAAGGAGAAGCTGCCTGCCCCGCCCCCCAACTCCAATCAGAAGACCCGACCATAGGAGCCTTGGGTTCAGGTCACGAAATCAAAAGAGAAGAAACCATGCTTGATTCTGGAAAAGATGTTTTCTCCAGGGCCCTGGCGTGGATCCTCAGTACAGCAAGAAGGAGCCCAGCTGCCGAACATCTGTCCCTGTTTCTCACCTGCCAGTCAGCACTGAAATCATTATTTCAGAGTGGGATGCAGATGCTTGGGGGAATAAGGGTGCCCAGATGGTTCTCTGGTAGAGCGCATTGTTTTTATTAGGAAACGGTAAGGTTTGAAAGTTTTTTTTTTTTTTTAAAGATTTTATTTATTTGTCAGAGAGAGAGAGGGAGAGAGAGCAAGCACAGGCAGACAGAATGGCAGGCAGAGGCAGAGGGAGAAGCAGGCTCCCTGATGAGCAAGGAGCCCGATGTGGGACTCAATCCCAGGACGCTGGGATCATGACCTGAGCCGAAGGCAGCTGCTTAACCAACTGAGCCACCCAGGCGTCCCAGGTTTGAAAGCTTTTGAAGAAATATCCAAAGCCTCCGAAAACGTATTATGGAGGCAAATGTCTGTCTGTCTGGAGAGGTAGGAGACATCACAGCCTTTCATTGACACTGTTTCTGCAACTCAGGCACCATCTTAAAATTCTTTTAGTTCCACTTGGCACAGAAAATTCCTTAACTCTGGGGGTGAAATGAGCCAGCAGGGATAGGAGAGGATTCAAATGTCTAGTTGGGTGTTTGGAGCAGGTGACCCTTAAGGCCCCTTCCTGTCCTGGGAGTCAGGTAGCTCAGGTCTTATGAGCCAATCCCCCCCCGGTGTTGATCATCCCAAACTCTGTACATGTTTTTCATCTATGAAAATTCCCTCTTTCCAACATGAACTCTGGGCCCTGTGATAAGTCTTTATGCTCAGTCTGAACACACTCAGTGTGTTAACCTTGTGACTCGAAGCTCAGATCTACGGCAGAAGCATGAGCCTCACATGGGAGCCTGCTAGAAATGCAGAGTCTTAGGCCCATTGCAGACCTATTGAATCAAATCTGCATTTTAGGAAGACCTTCGGGTGGCTCATTAAAGATTAAGAATCACTGCACCAGATGAGGTCAAGGTCGTCTTTGACGCTGGCAATTCGGTGAAGATTCCACCCTTTCATGACAAACCACAGTCCAAAATCTATTCAAAATTAAGCTAGGCAGTAAGCTGCCTAAATGATAAAGCTAATTTCTTCCCTTTGTATTCTTATCGTTACTTTTCTTAAGTGCTACAGTGACATCTGTACTGAAGTGGCTTTAAGACAGAACGATCAAAGCCAAGAAGATGGGCAGGATGGCGGAAGGGGGGAGCCTGGAAGGTTCCGTGGTTTTTATGGGCTGCCTGAATCTGGGTCCCCGCTCCATTATTTATTGCCCGGGTAACTCTGGGAGAGTTATTATTCTCTGTCCTATTTCTTCACCGATAACGATAATATCATACACAACAGTGGTTTAGAATGTTGCTTCTGGAGCTGGAATGCCTGAACATAAATCATAGCTCTTTCCAATTTACTAGCTGGGGATCTCGGCCAAGTCAGCTCATCTCTTTGTACCTCAATTTCTATACATGTAAAATGGGGAAATAACAGTACCTATATGAGAGGATTGTGGCGAAGTTTGAGTTAAAACGTCTAAAATGCTTATCACATGCAGAATATGCATACCTCTTAGTAGCGTATACCTCATAATGCTAGAGGGGAGATTAAATGAGACGGTACACGGGGATGCGGGGCTAGCTCAGTCAGTAGAGCATGTGACTCAATCTCAAGGTGGCAAGTGCAAGCCCCCAGTTGGGTGAGAAGCCTACTTTGAAAGAAAGAAAGAAAGAAAGAAAAAGAAAGTCTATAGTGTGCTTAGCATAACATCTGGCAGATGGTAAGGCCCTCAGTGAACCAGAGGGTGGGAAACTTGTAGCCCACTCACTGGTATCTAAACTTGTCAAAAGGAATTCTTTGGATATGGCAACAACATGTCAAAGTACAGACTTTCCTTGGGAAAAAAAATAAGGAAAACCAAGAATATCTTTGGTGCTATATAATTTCTACTCATGCTTTTCCCATCCATCCCAAAGTTTTTCCAGGAAGAATCCATAACACAATGATCATGCATCCCTTCCAACAATTTCAAATAAAAACTCCCCTTCGGGGGCACCTGAGTGGTTCAGTCGGTTAAGTGCCTGTCTTTAGCTCAGATCATGATCCCCGGGGTCCTGGGATCAAGCCCCATGTTGGGCTCCCTGTTCAGTGGCGAGTCTGCCTCTCTCTCTCTCTCTGCTCCTCTCCCCTGCTTATGCTTTCTCTCATTCCCTCTCTCAAATAAATAAAATCTTTTTAAAAAAGCCTCCCTTTCTAGAAAGAAGAAACCACCGTAAAGTTATTTATACTAGAATGTGAATGACTACCTGATTAATTTCTCCCATTATGCATTTGATACATAATTTTTTAAAAATCTAGTTTTAGCCTAGTGCTTTTTCCAACAGAACAACAGCATCTTTAAAGAGATCAAAATGAATTGTTACAGCAAACAATGTACTAGACCTCACAAGGTAACCAAGCTATGTTCTCAAGGCATAGTATGGGGGGGGTTGGAATAAATTTTTTTCAGTCTCTATGTTACACTTAGTAAATTTCTTTTCCAGTTCATTAAATTGGACTGAAAAAGATACAAATGATCCTCCCAAAGTGCCTATCTTTCTTACCTAGTCAGATCTGATCCATTAACTTTGGGATCATTTAAATGTGAACACAACTAAGTATCATTCTTCAGAAACTATTTTAAGTTTGCAAAACAATTTTAAGTTTGCCAACAGTAAAATGCAGACCTTTCTAATGGTGAAATCACCAGCTCAACCATATGTCAAATAGTATATATAAGTATGAGTAATTCTAAAGCCCTAAAACATTTTTTGTTGTTTGTTCAAGAGAGCTTCGTGGATTTGTTACCTGTGCTGTGAGAATACTCAGTGAGCATTTTCCACAGCTTCTGTGTGCAGAGCTTTCATTTTAATACTGTGTGAATGCTCGAAGCTAGAAATCTGCCCATGAGGACAACCGACTTTCCAAGGAGAAAAATGTTATGCTGAAAACGGGGTTTTAATACCATTCTTTGTGCTCCGTGAACTTACACTGCAAAGCCTTCCGAGAACACTTTCTTTTTCAGGCTGGAGCATTTGTGCTGTTGTTCGGTGACAACTTCCATGACAAATCCCAATTTCCAGGCACCCAAAGATTCTCCGGCATGAATGCAACCATTCTGAGATGTGTCTACGTTTTATTAAAACGTGACTCCTGAAACAGATGGGACAACTTCCATCTCGATCCCAGCCACCTGCCGCGGCAGAATCTTAAGAATTGATCGTGCTTCTCATGAAGAAGGTGAAGGGGAAGACACGGAAACAGACACACTGTTCTGAAATGACCCTGAAGCACAACCTGGGTGAGCTGAATGCTGTCCCCTCAGTCCCTTTGGCAGAGCCTGTTTACAAAATGACAAGAAGAAGGTGGGGCGCCTGGATGGCTCGGTGGGTTAAAGCCTCTGCCTTCAGCTCCGGTCATGATCTCAGGGTCCTGGGATCGAGTACCGCATCGGGCTCTCTGCTCAGCGGGGAGCCTGCTTCCCCCCCGCCCTCTGCCTGCTTGTGATCTTTCTCTGTCAAATAAATAAATAAAATCTTAAAAAAAACCAAAATGACATGAATAATTTGAGAGAGTGGGAAGAAGTCACTAGTAACAACTAAGGGAAGTAGAAATAAAGGTAGGAAATCAGCACGTTTTATCTCTCAAACTTACAAAATGTTACATGTCAATTCTATTTCAATAAAAAAAAAACGAAGGAAGTAGAATCATTAAATCCTCTATTTGAGACAGGTCTCATAAGTCATCTACATCAGCAGCTTTCAAACATTTAAAATTCTTTGGTCGCTCTGATCAGATTCAATCACAGGTCAAAGAGCAAAATGTAGAACAACTGAAAGAGGCTCTATATGAGGTTACAGCCTGGCTGAGATCTGAGACTTCATGTCTTTCTTTGTCCTACCACCAGCCACATGCCAGTCACACGCCAGCCACACCTCTGAGCGAGCTTCCTAGCAACCACTGGGATACCGCTGGAAAATTTCTGACCTCGTTTTCCCTAAAATATCTAGAATCTGCAGATTACTTTTAAAGAGACTATTGCACCAAAACCTCTCTGTACCTTTTCTGTGGGTATTTCCAGAAAAAGAATACTACTGCAGTTGCCTAGACAAAGTTGTAAGGATACAATCAACAATACATATGAAAAGCTTAGAAAAGTGTCTTGCATATAGTAAGCAAGCAAACCTTTAAAAATAGTAGTTATTCCAAATTCTAAGATATACACCCCTATATTTATAGCAGCATTATTTACAAAAGCCAAAAAAAAAAAAAATCTTATGGGACGCCTGGGTGGCTCAGTTGGTTGAGCAGCTGCCTTCGGCTCAGGTCATGATCCCAGCGTCCTGGGATCGAGTCCCACATCGGGCTCCTTGCTTGGCGGGGAGCCTGCTTCTCCCTCTGCCTCTGCCTGCCATTCTGTCTGCCTGTGCTCGCTCTCTCTCCCTCTCTGACAAAAAAAAAAAAAAAAAAGACCTCCCCCACCCCTCCTCCCTCCCCCCCCCCCACCCCCCCCTAAAAAAAAAAAAAAAATTTTAAAAAAAAAAAAAGGTAAGACAAAGTTATTGCTAACAGCCTTCCAACTTGAAAGTCAGACCGTCTTTTTCAGTTTAAAACTCCCTGCTCCCAGGCTCGGACTACTTTATAGGACTCTTGCTTTATTACCTCTTCTTTGTTCCGTGGACTCTGTTTACAGGGCAAAAACCCCAATGTATGGATTCCTTTTTCCCCCGCTCAGGCCAACCCACTCTTCCTAA